GCCTTCCCTGCCCCAGCATGCTTGTACCTGCATGCTGGCTGTTCTTGTTTGTTGTTTGTTGTTTGTTTGGACCAGTGCTGTGTTCCTCCTCACCCTCTTCTCCCACACCTGTGAGCCATACGCATCCTGGACAAGTGGTCATCACCACTGAGTCGAAGGGATTTCTGATTAACTTTCATTCTAGTATGGCTCCTTGAGCAAAAGGGTGTAGACTACTCGGTTTTTCTGTTGTGTTGTTTAAATAGCATGTGGTTCTGTATTTTTACAAGAATCCTCAGTTCTTGTTTCAGGAAGCTTCAGGTTGTTTCTAATAACAATGCCGCTTTGCCCTCACGGGATGGGTTGGACCAGAGCCAGGGGCTTGTGGAAGTCCTGGCAGGGCTTTCCTTCCAGCACTGCCAGGGCATCTGCTGTGGGCTCAGGGATGAAGTAGCCACCCTATACCCCGACTGCACCACAGCTGGCCTCTCTGCTCTGCTGTGCTGTTGGGGGACCAAGTGTACGCAATGTTTTTCTCACTTCAGATACGAGATTTTAAATCATCTCAACTGGATTTCTCCTTGTTATGCTTTGGAAGCATTTCCATGTAATTCTGTTGGAAATCTATTTCATCAATGATGCTAGATACATGTGTGAAATAAGATGTTTGTGGAATATTTTAAGTAGGGATTCCTGTGTAATATTGTGGACACAGTCAGAGCTTGCCAAAGAAATAGTAACATATGTAGAAATAAATGCTGCTGGAATTGCTTCAAGTTCCACTCTGAGATAAGAGATAACCATGCCGAGTTCAGTTTGGGCCTACTTTCTTTCAACAGTTAGCAGTATTTGCTGGCTTTATAACTTTCTCTATACCTACTCTGGCAGTCCCTAGAGAGAAGGCTGTGTATTTGGCAATCTTGCTCCTACCTAAATAAAGCATGCTGTGCGTGTGTTCCAGACATAGCATAGTGGGCATGTCTGCTGTATAGAAAGCCTCTGCTCATGTGGTCCCTGTACCCAGACCATTTCTTCTTTCTGTTCTCTCCCTTCTCCAAAAGAGTTGTGTCCGATCTCCAGTCATTTTCAAATACACTGAGAAAAAGTAGCTTTCATTTCCAAAACAGAGAAGCTCTGTATTTCTTAAAGCACCAAATTCTGTAGTTGACTTAAGCACCAGATATTGACAAATTGACTATATTCCGTGTTAACTGTTTTTAACCACTGGATTCAAACTGTTCCTCTTCCTATCCTCAGCCTGAACAATTAGAAATGGTCACTTTAGAGTTGGCGTTTGCTTGCATTTTTTCCCAAGGCCGTGATGTTAGCTGGAAAATCTGTCAATATTTGTGGGATGTCTCAGCTGCTATGGCCACGCTCCTGCCCCGCAGGCCATTGCTAGTGGCCTGGAGTTGCAAAGGACTGGTGCCCATGGACTTGGCATGGACACCTGTGAAGAATATGCCCCAGCCCCACAGCCGAAGTTCTCACCAACACGGTGATTCTAGAAGTCACTCAGCACAGTGAGTGCTAGTAAAGACCAGGAAACATAACTGGAAACATTCCGTTCTATTTCAGAAGGAGATGGAGGTTTCTGGTCCTTAAGTCCAATTTCATTGTCCCAAAGCCTCCGAAATAAGATTTCCTGGACACAGAGACATATTGCCACACACCTCCAGTTGTATCTAGATACTTTTTTTTTAACCACACCATATCATCAGCTTAAAGCAGGGCCCATTAGTCAAGTTCCAGGAAGCAGTGACAGTTAACCTTGGAACTACTATGCGCCTCCCATAAATAAATGGCAGTTCATTGAGAATTTCCATCCCATTCATTCTCTAACATCCAATATCATCTCAGTGTTTTATCCTAGTTTGGCCAAGTAAGACAAAAGAAAAAGCCAGAAGTATATGCTGGCAGGTAAGATAGACCACAAAAGGGGACCTCGGTGCTGGAGGTCAGTGTCTTGAAGCATTTAAGCACAACTGATTCTAAAGATGATAATAAAGCAGCTGGGTTCCACATCCTGCATTACTGGTTTCTGGTGTTGAGATGGCTTTTTATAACGTGCAGGTCGTGGAGAGTGTGGGAAAGGAGAAGTGAGTGTTGTGGCGTGTGGGAAAGGGTTTCCGGCGTTCTCCTGTCAACTGCGTCTTGTCCTACGTGGCAAGTCTTACACACACAAGTCCGACCTGCCACTTCGATCAAGCTCTTCTGCAGTCAGCTTGCTTATGTAACAAACGGGCATCCACTGAAAAGCTAGAGGGCCTTGTGCTGTGGGACAGGCCTGCTCCGGTGGCAGTCTGGCAGTCTGGTGGCTGCCAGCATAGCAGTAGCAGGTAATTAATTTAAAGCATGTATCAGGAAGGTATGGTCTAATGGTAGAGCACCAGTCACGGGTGAGAGCTCGAACCCCAGAATCGGCACAACACAATGAAAGTAAAACATGAATCAAGCTACAAATGCCCCCTCCAGGTGGACGTGTGTCTTAGGATCGCAGCATCAGCAGCCGTGATGTGTGCACAGTGCCTAGGTATAGACCCACTGCCCCTGCTGCCATACCATACTCAGCCAGCCAGGGGTCTGGCGGGATCGTTTGCTTTTCCAGGTGCTTATCTTTTCATGGAGTTTGCATTGAAAATGCCCCTCTCAGGTTAAATTTTTGCCAGGTTTGTTTTGCTACTTATATTTCCTTTTTGGGGAAAAAAAAGTAATGTCTTCTTGGCCTTGCTCATTGCACGTGGAGCGCTGCCCAGGCTGCTGCATCCAGTGGTTCGTGGTCAGAGGCGCTTCCCAGGAAAAGGGCTGGCTCTTCTCTCGGAACCTGGCCCTTAGCTCGAGACCGTGGTCCCAGGAACTGCCTACAGCCCATCCCAGTGAGAAGCTTGTACTGTGCATCACAGAAATCCCGTCACTAGCAAGACAATGGACAGCCAGCCATCCTGCACCCCCACCCCCAGCTTCTGCAGTGCATGGCAGGATGCTCACTCCTACCTGGTCAGCTCCCAGAGTGGGAGCTCCCAGCTTTGGCAGGGACAACCCTACCACACAGACAGGAGGCCACACACACCCTTGTTCCGCTTCCCTTGCTCTCCATCCCCGTGTTCTGCTTCCCTTTCACACACCGGGATTCCTGTGACACCCAGGGGCTGCCCTTCTGAACAGAAGGGACGCAGGGGGCCGTTTCATCACATCCACTGCCACCCACTGCATTCCTACCCTGATGTTCTAACTCCGGAAGCCTGGTGGTCTTGAGAAAGCAGTTCTGATGTGTCTTTTTATAATTAAAGAGAAACAGAAAAGTATCATCCAGGCAGCCTTTGATAGGCTGCTTCATGCCGTTTATTTTGACTCATCTAGGAGGAGGAGTCGAAGTTGACTGCAACCGGAAGCAGTCCCTAACCTGGAAGCAGTCTCCAGAAGTTAGGGGGCTAACTTCCCTAACTAGAATGGTTTCCAGAAGTTGGGGGGGGGGGGTGCTCCTCAGTGCTTTTATCTGCTAAGAAGCAGATGACAGATAGCACTGCTCAGGAGGCAGTGGTGCGAGTGGTAATTCCTGAATGAACGCAAGTGCCTCAGAAGGTTTCTGTGCCAGCCACCCATGGCATGAGGATGAAACCGAGACTGTAGGGCTGCAGGCGGAGTCAGTAGCAGTGTTTGGAGGCAGATCCGAAGCACAGGCCGATGTCCCTCCGTCTGCATGGCCTGCAGTGGGCAGTGTGGTGTGACCGGCAGTCTACAGCTAGTCCCTGCAGAGCTGCTGTGGGCTGAGGTTCACTCAGAGGCCAGAGTGATAGGCTTCTGCCAGAGCCACACCTACACTGCCACCTCCCAGCCCTCTCAGAGTACGCCTCCCTTCCTCACACGCTGGTCAGGACGTCACTGAGCAGTGTGCGAAATATGTAGAAGAAAAAACACTTAAATGTTTGACCCTTTGATTTGCAAATAGTCAGCGTTTGCATTTTCTATAAGCCAGAAAGTTCAAACTGGAAATAGATATATGGAAAGACCATATTTTTTTATGATTTATATTGATCCTTGAAATTCTCATTAAACATGGATAGTTTTATTATTCTCTATGGAAGAAAGCTTTTTTTAAGTTTTGTAGTCATTTCTTGATGTACTGGAGTTTTTCCTGGGAGAAATGGACAGCTTTGCCAGTTCAGAACTCCCGCTCCCCACCTGGTAGCTAAGAGAAATGACCTTGGATGACGGGTCTTCTCCAGGTCAGAGAATACCCGAAATCATTGCTACCAGCAGGATAAAAGGAACCAGTCCCCAAGAAATGATGGTGGTGGTCTGCAGGGGAACTGTGAATGAGAGATGTGTCCAACGAGCTCTGGACTGGAGCTCTTCAGATACCTGACCTCCAGCCGACGTTCAGAACAGAGCATGCTTCTATCGCAGCGGAGGGGATGGGTGCTTGGACTCGAGTTCCACAAGTTAGATGTCTGATGTCTGCTAGGTCATTTTGAAATATTGGGGAAGTGGTGTGTTGTTCAATAGAAGCCAATTACAAGCGGTTTTCACAGAGTCGAGGAGCACTTTGCAATGCTTTGTACTCATTATGCCAGAAAATTTAGGGCAAAGAAATATTTTTAATAGCATGCCCACACTTCCTATTTGTTTTTCATTGCTTCTGCCTTTGATGTGTGGATACTAAGCGGTGTTAATTGTCAGATGATGTTAAACAGTGGCATTAATTTTGCTTGCTTTTATAATTCCTGTTCTCGTGTCTAGTTTCTTCTTCCTTATATTCCTCTATGTGAAAATTAACTTGGAGCACTTGATATAATTATGAATGTCTAACTTATTCCTGTAACTTACAATACTGGGAATTTTTCAATGTGAGTTGATCAATTGCCTAGCAGTAGAGCTCATCCTTTCTAGGAAATCTATTTGTAACAATTATGAAAAACAACACCCTTTCCAGAAGTTCGTTATTGAAGATGCCTGCCTGAGCCAAGTTCTGCTGATGTTCACGGTCAATATGTGTGTGCCTGTGCTCTCTCTTCCCATAGGCAAGGCAGTTTTCCTGGCATGAACCAGAGTGGACTTATGGCTTCCAGCTCTCCCTACAGCCAGTCTATGAACAACAGCTCCGGCTTGATGAACACACAGGCACCCCCCTATAGCATGGCACCCACCATGGTGAACAGCTCCACAGGTAACTGGTGGCTCTGGTCTGGAGCCCGTCCTTCCTTCTCCTCCTAGGCTTCTGCTCTGAACGCCTGGACGGCTGGAGAAGGTGGATCCCCCAGTGAAAACGGCATTCCTAGTGCTTCCCCATTCTGGGAAACCGGCTCAATCTGTTTTGAGACTTGAGGATTGCATTGCACGTCATGTGAATTATCCTAGATAGTCTGTGTTTTGTAATATGTGCGTGTACTTCCAGTCTCATTGAAGACTGTTTGTGAGATGTCCACACTACGGTCTCTCTAGCTTTGAGAATTGTTGGGACTGTCCGAAGAGCCCAAAACAAAAACTGCCCTTTGACTGTAGTGGAGAGAACTAGATTTAGAAGGCACATTTCAGAGGAAGCAGTTGAAGGGGGTGGGACAAGGGGTTTAAAGTACCCTTTTCATTTGGGAGGCACCGCTGCATATGTGGAGAAGGAGCTAGTTCACAAGCACCGTGCAGGCTGTCACCACAGAGAACGTGCTACAGGTGCTTGTGGCGGTCCTTTGCTGTACAATCTCAGCAGTTCATTTTTACAAGGTCATCCTCAGAATCTTCTTCTGGTCTGTAGGAAGCAGAATGTGTCCAGTAGTGGCTGTTTCTGTTCTCAGCCTCTCAGAACCCAAACCCACCTCCTCAAGCTCCCAAACTCCCCAGAGCAGTAAGTCCCTCTGGTAAAATGAGAAGCTTCTATGTGTTTCCCCTGTCCTGGCAAGACTCAGACCTGCAGTTAGCACAGGGCCTGGCGTGGGGTCTGCGTCCTCTGGGGCTTTGTGACACGTCAGGAACACACTGTGCCACTAGAGCCTGGCTCCCTCTACGCCCCTGTCCATGTGCACTGCCCTCGGCCACCTCTCTATACCCAGGCAAGGCCTCTGCTCGGTCTGTCAGCGCCGGAGAGGATGCCCCTTCCTGCATGCAGCTAGGCTCCCCGACTGCTCCTCTTTAATGGTTTGGGCAAGAGGAAGGCATAGAAGCTCTTAGCCAAAATGGCAGTTTTAAGTAACCAAAATAGCTTTTCTTCATGTTCAGCTGCTAGACTGTACTTCTAGAGAGATAAAGTATGTCGCTCCAGGCTGGGATGTAGCCCAGTGGTAAAGCTCTTGCCTAGTAAGCATGAGTCCTTGGGTTCAATCTCTTGTACCAAAAAAGAAAAAGTCAAAAAGTACATAGCTCCAGCAGGCTGTCGGCTAGAAGCCTCACACTAGCTGTCACTGTGTGTGTTTTGTCTGGCCTCCTGAAACGTAATTACTTCAGGGTATTGAGAGTATGGAATAAACTTCCACCTATTAGCGGAAATCCCTTTTTTTCCCTTCTCCTTTGGCCCCCAGAGCCACAAATAACCAACAACAAACAGATGGTACACTGCTCTGCCTAAGAAAACATGTATTTCTGAGCAATCTCCAGTTTTACAGGGACTCAGAGGATGTCTTTATTAGTATTATTATCATTATTATTATTACTCAGGTAACTCAGCTATTTGCTTTTCATACCAAGGAAGTCTGTTCAGTGAAAGGACATTTATTCACACTGTCTTTTGTATAAAATCGTAGTATATTTCTATTGCATACTACATTTTGAAGCACTGAATTTTTAATAATTTAAATGTTTATCAAATGTTGCTGTATACACTTAGGTGATAGCTATTTCAGTTTTATTAAATTACCGGGTAGAAAGCATAATCACTGAGCACATGTGAGGAATATTGGGGATCTATTGACAGGTGCTTGTGGGTCTGCCTTAACTGTCCTGGGACAGGGCTCTGGGGGTACAGGAATGGCGTAGGCCATCCCCACGCAGTTCCAGTGGCCTCCTTGAGGCTAAATGGTGCCCTAGCCTAGAGATAAAGTCAGGAATGGCCCATCGTCGCATTCACCTCCTTGTGGGCCCATGGAGATAAGTTTCCATAGTTAAGAGTCCAGCATTTCTCCACCAAAATGTACTTTCAGAGGAGGTGAAGGTAACACGTGATGCTGGCCAGAGCCAGTAATGGGATTTTCTGAGTCTCAGCAGCCAGTACAATTGGCATTCCCACATCTTCTCTGCTGAGCTCAAAGGATTATGTTGTAGACAGTGTACATAGCAAAAAAAAAAAAAAATCTCCTGTTTAGTGATGAATTGTTACAGGCATCAGCAAGCAAGTAATTATTTAATGGAGTCCATGAAAAGTATAAATGTGACCACAATTTCTTACAGAAAGTACCAGGGAAGTTAGATGGTAAGCAGTGGGGAGTTTTCCCTCTGAAAGAGACTATTGATTCTGTTTTAATTATTTGGATTAAAAGGCTAGAATGTATAGATTGTGAGTGAAACACAAATTATATGTAAGCTTGTTAAATTTACCCTATTGCAGTACCTGTGTTGTTAATTGTATTTATGTTCTGTTCATAATATTCATTAGCCACATCAGCCTACATATAACCCATCATCTCCAAGAGAGCATCTGAATTCCAAAAAGACTTAAAGACTAAAGTTTGTCTCCCCAGAAGTCAGTCTACAAAACATAGGGCATTTCCACCACGCTGTCCAATAGATGACAGAGCCGTAGCCACACCTTCCTCTTACCCAGAGCCCTGGCCAGACCCAGTGGCAAGTCTTTCTGCTGACTGTTGCTCAACCCCAAAGGCAGAGTGTCCTACCTGCACTGGACATACCAGCTCCAACAGTGCTTTACAGACAAAACTCCTGGTCACACCTCTCCAATTTTCAGAGCCTCTGTTTCACCCTGAATCTGTAAAGCCAGGTCCCCAGGCCGCTGTTGGGGTCTTCATTCCTCACGCCCTCAGGCCACCCTCACTGGCCACACCAACACCGGAGAGTCGGCCACGTCACCTACTGCCAACTTCGTGTGCCATGAGCTGCTGAGCAGAGAAAAAAATACATTTACAAAAATGCCTAAAATGTGAAGCTAGCGCTGCATAGCTGTGGGCCTGGACTAAGGCTTTTTCACAGAAGAGGTTTGGGGTTCTAGCACCCCCTTGCTGGTAGTTGTCTAGGTAGTATTAGCCAGTGTTTGTTTACTAAATTAATGATTTTCCTACCCACCCTAAGGAAAACTACAAAGGACTTGCAAATTGTGACAACTAAGCCTCTTAAACTCTGGGGAAGTGTGTGTGGGGGGGGGGTGGACAAAGCCACCCGGATCCTGCCTAAGTCATCATCAGTACCTGGCTGAGGGCGGCCACTCTGAGAGCCTTGGTGGTTCTGGAGGGCCACGCATGGCAGGGGGAGCCTCTTCCCAGGACCCTCCCCCAGCAAGCACTCAAGTGGGAGTGTTTCAGGGCTTCCTCAAGGTCTCCCTGTGCCCAAGCACATATCATGTCTCTTATGTGTGCTGTTTAACCATGTGCCACGTAAAAATCACGAACCTCTATAGCTGTACACAGTGCCTAGATAGTCCCTTTGTGCTTTCAAAAACAAGGTGTATTTTGCAGAACAGGGCTTGTTGCCCTGAAGACGAAAGGATTGTGTGTTTCTGATCCTATTTTACCATCTTCAGATGCTGATTCGTCATCTATAGGTAGACAAAGTGGAGGGAGCTGCAGGAAAGGGAAATGTGAAGTTTGGTCTGCTTGGGTCATACGTTCCTTACGATCTTTGGGCACAGTAGTGCCTTGGGACCCTCTCCAATTTACTCCAGCTCTTAAATGTCAATGGTGGAGCCAGAGGCCAGTGCCTGAAATGTGTGTACAGCCCTCAGGACACCCTGCAGTCAGCACTGCACATTCTAGATTCCAGGCGTCAGGACGAGAAAGAACAGCTTCTTTGTTCCGTGCATCCTTAGAACAGTGGTGGTCTTCCTTTCTGAGAAAGGAGGATAATCTAGTGCCCTGCACTATGTTTGCCTTAGGAGGCATATAGCTCATTGTGGAAATTCATAGAATTCTGGCAAGAGGTCAGAAAACAGCGTTTCAGCATAAAGAATAGTAATAGCCACAGTAAGATAAGCCCTCTTTTTGGAGCCACTTAGCAAAGTAAAATTGTCAGGCAGAAGAACTTAGTTGAAACTATTACTCTAAATTCTACCCTTATTTTCCTCTTAAAATAATAAAGCGATGCAATTTTTAAGTTTTTTATATTTATATATTTCAGATGCCCAGTTTAAAATGCATAATAGAGAATGAAAAAAAATGGGGAGTTTCAAACCAACATATATACTTGCTTTCATAAAAGTCTGGTAAAATCAGTGTGAATTATCATAATACATATTGGCCTAATTCTTGATGCTTAAAAATTACTTTTATGTACATTAACACATGTAGTGCATAAATATGATACTACAGTTCCTGTTCTCAAAATAATATTCAGACATGTAAGCACTGACAAGATGGTCAGCTACTGCCACTGGAGCAGCCATGTGCCCCAGCTTGCGGGCTTCTCTGAGCTGCCCGGGCTGCCACTGCACAGGGATGCGTGGCCATTGCTATGCAAGCCTGTCTTTTTATTCTTACAGAAAGGGTGATTCTAAGCATACAGGTTTGCTAATTCCTATCTTGTTAGGCCCCAGAGAGAGAGCTGCACGAAAAAATCCACTGCTTTGCACAAGGCAGTCTTCTTGGTAAAATATCTCTCAGCTGCGTTTTTGAGGTTTCACACATTCACAAAAATAACAGCATTTTTAGCTGATCCCAATAGATTTTTCTCTGCAGCTGCATCACTTGAAAAAGCTTTTTGTTCCAGTTCTTAAAGTCTGAGTATTGAAAGTAATTTGGAAAAAAAAAAGAAAGAAAAAAAGAAAAACATCCCAATTATGATTTGTGTGTGTTGTGATGACTTTAAGGGCTGCCTGGCTGCAAATGGGCTCCACACACCCGGCCGGCACACGGTGGAAAACCTGGGATCTCAGCGCGCCTTAGCGAACGTGCTGCTGGAGGCGCGTGGCCACGTGGCAGGGTGGGCTTCTTTGGCAGGACCTGTGGACTCGACCTGCAGTGATGCTAACGACATGAGCAAATTAGCACCATCGAGCTTGCCAGCCAATTCACCAGAGCCTGCTCACTGCTCACTGCTGTAATTAAAACTAATTATTTTCTAAAACGTAGTAATACATGAATATGTGCAATAATCATTTTGTGGTGGGCAATCTGTGGAGCCTTTTTTGAAGCTGTTTTTCTTCCTCTCCCGCCCCCCACATTTTTGTTTTCTTTTTTTTCTCCCTGGCTCACTGAGCCCCGTGTGTCCCGCGGGCTGAGCCAGCGCTGGCCTTGGGACAGTGGGAAACCTCAGGTCCCTCTGCTCTCCACAGGGCCGCTGTCTCCCTTGTGGCACAGGGCTGTGCCCATGGTTTTTCTGGGGAAATGCAGCTGTTATCCCCTGGACAGCCACATGCATCCCCTGCTGTAGCCTTCTTCCTCCATCACAAAGAAATTGAAACTCGGGTGTCTGTTAGCCTCAGCGATCAATGTGTATAAGCCATGTGACCCCTGGTGGGCTTGGGGCAGTGCGTGCCCAGGCGCCGGCCACAGTTCTGAGCCAGAGGAAGGATGCTCCGGCCCTGGAGTGGCTGTGCTGTCTGAGCTGGCTTGGAGCCATTCAGCTTCCCCAGGCCTCAAACTCCCGTTCAGTGATGTGTGTGTGCGCGCACACATGCGTGCGTGTGCTTGCACATGCCTACACTATAGATTATGAGGAAATAAAGCACTAAACCCCTTAGGCCACAGACAAATCTCACCTCTGATACTCGAGACTAGTTGAGGGACTTGTTCAGGTTCTACTGTTGCCAACATATGTGGATGTGGGATGGGCTTCCTCAGTAGTCCAGTTCTCAAGTGTACACAGTGACCGTGTTTTATCATGATTATTATTACTGTTACTGTTGTTATTAGCAAAAGAATGCCCAGAATGCCCTACTGCCGTTCAGATTTCATGCGTCGTTATTGTCCACGTCCCGTTCTCTTTTCCGCCTTCAGGGAACACTCAGGCCCACGCCTCTCACGCTAGCGTGCGTGGCAGCAGTGCAGTCTGACAGATTGCATGTATAATGCTGACTCTTTCTCCTGTTTTCGATTAGCATCTATGGGTCTTGCAGATATGATGTCTCCCAGTGAATCCAAGCTGCCCATGACGCTCAAAGCGGACGGCAAAGACGAAGGCACTCCACAGCCCGAGAGCAAGTCGAAGGTACTTCTCCCCGCATGTGGTGGCGCTGCTGGCTGCGGCTGCCACGCCGCGGCCCTCCCCGGTGCTGGCTGCTGTGTTCCTGGGTTCTTTTCCTCTGCATGCCTCATTGTGTGCAACAGGAGTCTTCTTAGTCTTCTTTCTTTCCCCACCCCCTTCATGGTGTGGATCTGAAAGTTACTAGTTCTTAAGGCATTAACTCTTGGCTGGGGGGAGGGGGAGGAGGGACAAGACCCACCCGAGAGAGATGCCACGGGGGTGGGGAGAAGTAAGGAACCCTGCCTGGTTTTGCCACTTGTAGCCATTTTCTCTGCCTTCAGTTTATAGCTTCCTGTTTTGGCCGCCTCAGCAACAACATACTTAATATTTTGCTTTCCTGCCTTATTTGATAAATAAGGTGAACAGCTTGTTTTTTTTTTGTTTGCCTTTCTCTTTCATAAGGGGTAACCCATGCTTAGCATTCCGTGTGAGCTTGACGTAAGCATGGTGCTTCGTGGCCTATCCAGCATCCAGCAAACTTAACCAATCATACTAATTGAGAATGTTGTTTTAATACCTTTATATATGCGTGGTTGTGTTTGTGTTTGTACATGTCTATATATATATATATATATATATACACACACGAAATGTATATATATAAAATTAGTCTGTTAAACTGGATGTATTTTTTGTTATTTAAAATGAAGTTTGCCCTACCTTTGTCATTTTTTTTTATTCCTCTACCACAGGATAGCTACAGCTCTCAGGGTATTTCTCAGCCCCCAACCCCAGGCAACCTGCCAGTCCCTTCCCCAATGTCCCCCAGCTCTGCTAGCATCTCCTCCTTTCATGGAGATGAGAGCGATAGCATTAGCAGCCCAGGCTGGCCAAAGACTCCATCAAGCCCTGTAAGTGGCTCTGGTTGTTTGTCTCTTTTGGTTTTTGGGGGTTTTTGGATAATTAATTATACTTTAATGCTTGCTTATTGATTTGTTTTATAAGAAATTTTTCTTCATTATTGATCCATGAAAAGGTTTTCTTCACAAGTAATTGCTCTAGTAACAAAGCAAGTAGTGTTTGCATGCATGTAGCAGTGGGTTCTGGTAATGGCAGCCATTCTGTACTGACAGAGCCTCCACACAAAGATGGCGGCTACTGCTGTCCATATTCCTCACATGGGAACCAGGCTGGGCCGGCCATGGACCACACGACGGGTCTGGCCCCAGATTTAAGCTTGTCGTGGGCTGCTCCATCTAAAACGTCTTATTCAGAATGCCTGCCCGAAATGAATGAGTAAATATTACAATCTGGATGTGGTTTAGCATAACATCAGCCCTGCTTGGGGTTCAAGCTGAATATCTAAAATTAATGAAAAGGTTACCAAAATGCCTCTACATGTGAATTTTAGTACCGTTTGCCTAAAATGGAGTAAGTCAAGACAGAAAAATGGAGTTCCGCACAAGAGTGCTGGTGATCTTGAAAAGAGTGTTGGTTTTCATGTGATATATAAATAATAACAGCCATGGTAATATACTTACTAGAGAATTCTTCTGGCCTTAATGTTCTCTGACTGTGGAATTGGGCCTTTATTTTTCTTCTAGAAAATAATCTGCTCCATAAAATGAAAGTGTAATGTACTATAGTAACCTTTATTTTATATTCATATAGGGAATTAAAAGATCTTAGGGGGAAAAAAAAACTTTACATGCAATTAGTTGCCAAGAAGGCTTAATTAACACACTAATTTCTGTAAGCCAGTGTGTGCAAGAGCACAGATCAGGAAATGGTGTTGGAGGGAGGAAGAGCCTGGCTGTGTGCGATCTGGCAATCTAGTCACAACCAGCAAGGAGGCTGCTGCTAATTATCCATTCACCGGTTAGACAGATAGAGCCTGGCGGGTTGAAGTCTTACTCTTTGTAGTAAATGTTGGTGACGTTCACATGAAGCTCTGGTATAACCAGCATTTTCCTTTCAGAGAAAGGAAGGGTGCTCTGTGCTCCCCCCTTCCCTGGGGATGTGTTCGGGTTTGGTAACACCCGGAGGGGCGGGGAAAGCGTGCCGCCCTCCTTGGGGCAGCTTAGTGCTGTTTGCGTTGAGTCTCAGAAGGCAGCCAACATGTGTGGATTTTTTCCCCCATAATTTGCCCTAGGTTTGTTGTTATTGTTGCTGTTTCTTTAAAACAAGAAAAGGCACTTTGAATCAGTAATAGTATTAAATGAAAAAGTAGAATTCAAATGATTTTCCAAAAACATACCTATGTTGACTCAGAGGGAGAATTTCAGAGGTTTTTAAAACTTCAGAAAATAAGAATACATCTTTAAAACTTAAGATAATAAGAATTCATTAAAAATCAATGTTACTAGTAAGCCATGGCATATATCTAAGTGCTTGCCTTGCTGGCCCTGGAATAAAAAAAAAAAAAAAGGACTGAGGTAGATACTGAATTGGAATTTGCTCTTTCCATCCAGCAAGTCCTGTAGGAAACATTTATCAAAATGCTTCTCTGTAGCCAGACCCTCAAGGCTCATACCATCAGAGACTGAGACCTAGTCGGGTCAGAAAAATCCACAAGACTATCTTCCGTTAACTACAAAAAAGCCAGAATAAAGATGTGGCTCAAGTGATCAAACACTAGTCAAGAACAAGCATGAGCCTCAGTATTAGCAAAAAAAAAAAATAATAATAGAAATGCTAGTTTGCATGGTCTGCTATATGCTGTAAATACCATTGTTCAAAGCTGAGGTTAGCTTAGATTATATTGTAAGGCTTTATCTCAAAAAAAAAAAGAAAATATTACTTAAATATAAAAGTAAAAGAAACAGGTGGCCCCATTTTTTTGATAATACTTTAATTACTTTTTTCTTTTTCTTCTTTTTTCAAAGTATTTCCAGCTAGGCATTGGTGGCTCATGCCTGCAATCCTAGCTACTCAGGAAGCTGAGATCTGAGGATCACAGTTCCAACCTCCAACCCAGGCAGGAAAATCTATCTGACTCTTAGCTCCAAAAAAGTATTCAGAAAAAGCTGGAAGTGATGCTGTGGCTCAAGTGGTAGAGCACTAGCCTTCAGCAAAAATAAGCTCAAGGACAGCACCCGGGTCCTGAGTTCAAACCCCAGTATCAGTTTCATTTTTGTTTTTAAGTATCTCCATATCCATTATATCTTCTTATACTAGAAATGGTCTTATGTTGAAGAATTTACCAGCAAACTTCTGGGACAAGGGAAGCCATGCTCCCTATGGAAGGCTTCTGTGGGCTCCAGCTGACTACTGAAAACATAGCTCCTCGCTTTTGAAAGGTGTGGCAGTTGAGGAAGGAGCAGGAGAGCTTGGTGACAGACTTAATGTCACATCACCGCAAATGTGCTGCTCAGGAACATTGAGCCCCTTTCTGAGATGCCACTTGACTGCGCTTGAAATCACCCTGAATACTGTTTGTCTGAAAGCCTGCCGCACAGCAGGCCTGAAACGGGCCACACAATCGTTAAAGCTGCTGTCGCTCTGACAGTATGTGACGGACCCATGTTATTTTGTCACAAAACGTTCTAAAATAAAATAAATAAACATTTGTCCACACAGAGCAAATACGTCTTCCCCAACATATGGTAAAAAACTGCTGAAATACAAACCTGCTGAAAGACTGGAGAAGAATGCACTTGCAGGCTTAATTAAAGTGTATGCGAGGAACACACGTGGCGCCTGAGCACGCCCTGCTATAGCCCTGCCTCCCAACAGTGTCAGCGTGTAGCATTTACAACACAGAAGCAATGCCATGTGAGCTAGTGGTTTGGTAACGACACACACACTTTAGCAAGGAAAAGGAGGAAGTGTACTTCTGTGACACCACCCTGGAAATATGGGATTCGTTAGTGTCGCCCAGCTACTACCCTCTGATTCTTAAGAATGATATGAGACTTCATAAAATCATGCCTTCTGGGATTCAACGTTTATATCAAAGTTTAAAATAGCTTTTGTTTATTTTGGCTTGTTTTTTTAATGTTTAAAAGTAGTCTGGGTCCTTTTATTTAAAGTTAAAGTAAATTTTTAATTAAGAAAAATGTATAGTTTGTGCCTGAACTAGTAGCCTTCATTCCTAATTGTTGTGTGATAGCAGTAGTTTTGATCTCTTCCTTCCTTGTATTCGGTCGCTCATTACTTTTTTCTCGCCTTCTTCCCTTTCCCTTGGCCGCCCCCACCCCTGCCCTTTGCCACATACTTACCTCTTCTGGCACTAGAAGTCTAGCTCATCCACCACCACTGGGGAGAAGATCACCAAGGTGTATGAGCTGGGGAACGAGCCAGAGAGGAAGCTATGGGTCGACCGATACTTGACTTTCATGGAAGAAAGGGGCTCCCCGGTCTCGAGTCTGCCCGCAGTGGGCAAGAAGCCCCTGGACCTGTTCCGACTCTACGTCTGCGTCAAGGAGATTGGAGGTTTGGCACAGGTGAGCGTGAGCAAGTGAGGAGGCGTGCCAGACAGGCCTTGCCAGTCGTGCACAAATGAGGACTAAGCCTGTGGGAAAGTCACCTTCTAGGGGTCCCCTCCTGTCATTCCCCACCCCCCACCCCAGTTGCTGGGCTTTAGCTTCTCATCTATAGGACCAGGTGTCGGCAGGATCAGGTTGTACCTGCACGCAGGGCAGCTCAACACACTGGCGTCTCAGGGCCAAGCAGAGCTACTTAATTCTGAAGCAGCCCTCGGGCCTGCTATTGGCAGCCTGTATTAAGTGCCAAAGAGGCATCTCCCTGAGAGCCCTACGGCCTGGAAAAGTTCTAATCCAGAAATGCAAACATATACTCTCATTAACCCTTCCCATGCTGCTCAGCACCATAGGCTCAGAAGGCACAGCTTCTCAGATGTGTGTAAAAGTTTAGCCTTTCATAACCTGTTCCTAAGGAGGAATGTAAAGGTTGGAATAATATCCCCTTCAGGACCCCTCCCTTCCCCCTCCCCTGTCGCTCCTCGCCTGCTCTTTAATTTAAAAAAAAAAAAAAAGTTTCAGAAATACCCCCCAAGTGATGGTCCTGGGATCTGAATCCCTCTCCCCCGACCTCTCCTCGCTCCGTGTGTGGGGGGGGTGGGGGGTGGGGGGTCAGGAAGTCCTGCACCGCACACAGCACGCTGGGCCCTAGGTGCTGAGCCAGTAGCACAGATGGCATCCTTCCAGGCTGTTAGGGGGTCAGGGACAGCTGGTGAAGGGGCCTCGCTGCCTTGGCACCAGGTACCATAAAAGAATAACGTTTACCCTTGTCACAAGAAGCCTCCTGAGAGAGGGCCACACAGGACAGGGTCGGCACCGGCCGCCCGGGGCTGGCGGCTCACAGAGGGCAACTTCGTTTCATACCATGGCTGCAGTACTTAAGCTGCAGGTTTGCTTTTGGCGCCCTTTGGTCTTAATTATAGGTCCGAGGGACTGAGCAGGAATGTCCATTCAGTGCTCAGGGCCTTGGCGGTGCCTGTGTGAGGCACTGGGCAGTGCATCCTGCAGAAGACCCCAGCGAGAGCAAGCGGGCGCGTACGTAGCCATCAGCAGGCTCCTTAATGGTTTTATAACTGTAACCGCTGTCTGTGTGCTACTGAGTGGGAGTAATGAGCACTAGTTAAAAGAGATGAATAAAAAAAAACAGTAAACCAAGACATTAAGTACTTTTGGGGGGTCTCCTCGCCTTAAACAAGCCACCTTGCTACAAACCACTGATCCTGCCACTTTTTTGCTAGGTTAATAAAAACAAGAAGTGGCGTGAGCTGGCAACCAACCTAAACGTTGGCACGTCAAGCAGCGCAGCCAGCTCCCTGAAGAAGCAGTATATCCAGTACCTGTTTGCCTTTGAGTGTAAGATCGAAAGAGGGGAGGAGCCCCCGCCGGAAGTCTTCAGCACCGGAGACTCCAAGAAGCAGCCCAAGCTCCAGCCGCCATCTCCTGGTAAGTAGCAGTGCTACAGCCCGGCCTGGAAGCCAAGGCAGCTGTGCGGGAAGGACGGGGAGGAAGAAGAGGAAGAACTGGAATCTTGGGAGAGGGAGCAGCCATTGCTTCTCCACTGGCAGAGTTTTAGAAAAGGAAGAAAAATAAAGATGTTGCTGTTTGTGGTAGGCAACTTCAAAGACATCGTTCTTCGTCTCTATTTAGTCAAAACAGACTTAGGAAATCTGAGCTACATCTGTTAATTCCTTCCTTCTTCCTTTCTTTTATTTTCTGCCAGCATAGGATTTTGAACTCAGGGCCTTGTTCTTGCTTTGTTGGCACTCTACCACTCAAACCGTGCCTATAGCCAGCATTTTTGCTCTTTTGCAAGTGAAGTCTCATGGACTTTTCTTCCCTAAGCTGACTTTGTACTGTGATCCTCCAAGTCTCACCTTCCAGAGTAGGTAGGATTACAGGCATGTGCCACTAGTGCTCAGCTCTCTTTGTTCCTTTCTTATTTAAAAATACTCTGTCTAGCCAGGTACCTGTGATCCTAGCTACTCAGGAGGCTGAGATCTGAGGACTGCAGTTCGAAGCCAGCTAGAGCCAGTCCATGAGACTCTTATCTCTTATTAACAGTTAAAAAGCCAGAAGTGAAGCTGTGGATCAAGTTATAGACCCTCTGTCTTGAGGGAGAAAAAAAAAAAAAGCTAAAGTACTGAGTTCAAGCCCCAGTACTAGCACAGGGGAAAAAAAAGGCCAGGAACAGTGGCTCATGCCTGTAATCCTAGCTACTCAGGAGGCTGAGATCTGAGGATCACAGTTCAGAGGCAGCCCGGGCAAGAAAGTTCACAAGATTCCTATCTCCAATGAACCACCTGAAAACCGGAAGTGGCGCTGTGGCTCAAGTGGTAGAGCACTCGCCTTGAGCTGAAGAATTGAGAGACAGCACTCAGGCCCAATTCAAGCCCCACGACTGACCAAAAAAATCTTTCTAGCTCTGTACAAAGTCAGTAATCATATGAACCTGTTTCAGTGCTACTAGACAGTGCCCTCCTCAGACACAACAGTTGGCTTGTCCAGCTCTTCTTCTGGTGAAATATGTACTTGACCATAGTCAAATTTGGACTTAATTTCTGGCCCCTTTCCCAGAAAGTTTTCATCTTGAGAGAATCCCACTATCTGTTATAAAGATTTGTTTCTGAAGGCGGGTGGGCCAGTCAGCTGAGGTAGAGGCCAGAAGTGAGAACTAGGGGCACCAGAGCGCGCGCGCACACACACACACACACACACACACCAGATGCATGATGCCACACCACTCCTGCCCTCCGCCTGCTTTTGGACACCTGCTGCTCCCTGTGGCTCTCATATTGGCCTTTGTTCTCCTCTAAGTGTTTTTTACATTTAAATTTACCAAATTCGAGTCTGATGAATGAAGTGTCTGGAATGGGGAGAAGCAGGTGTTCCGGTCGCTCAGCTCAGCCTCACATTCTGTCTCAGGCGTGGGTGGCGGTGGTGGTCTGCTGAGCTGCCCTGAGCCCGGGCACCTTCAGTCCTTGGTCATGCTGGTTGTAGCACGTGACCTATGCCTAGCCTAGCTGACGGTCATTTCCCAAGTGCAGGTGGCAGACTTACCATTTTGCCTTCACACCAGCTCTGGATAGTGACTCTGTGAAGGCGGCTGGGATGTCAGTGGGCAGCAGGGCAGCAGCAGGTCTGGATGGGGCATTTGCTTAGCTCACCAAACCCGCCAGAGCTCAGCCTGATGGGATGGAAAGGCCTTTGTAATGGGTCAGACATCAATACCTAGAAGCCAGAGCAGGAATCCATTTCCTCCGCCTACCAAGTGGATGGAAAGTACTGCTGTCGAATGTGGGTGGACAGTCAAGGACTCTCCCGCAAATACTTTTAGGCCCATAGTACACTTAGAGTGACTATCCCTAGATTTACATCTGTGGTTTTCAAATACAGGAAAATCCTTCTCCATCCCCATCTTGAAAGATCCCAAGGCTTTGCTGTTCAAGTGCACCTGAAAACTGGGAAATCTAATTTTAAAAATCACACACCATTACATTCAGTTCCCTGAATCAAAGAAGCTGCCTGTGAACAGCTCTGAAACTCTTTTTCCAAAATAAAAGCCCAGTGGGGTACAGGCACCAAAGTGGTGATATCTGTGGAGATCTAAAGGTGTGTTTTATTTGCTAGTAAGAACTTGTGTCCATGCATGGTTTGCACTTGTGTGTGGAGAATAGCTCTCCCAGCACGCCCCAGGCTCAGTACATGAAGCCCCGTGGAGACACACAGCCTCCAGAAGTGAAGGCCTGTTCTCCTAACAGCCCGTGCCACCTCCCCCTTTTGCAGAGGGCTGCATTGGTGGATGCCTTATCATCTTAACTGCATGAACGAGGTTAGGTTGCACACGTACATGGTCCACACGGAGCCACGGTTGTTCAGTGACAAGGGACGTAATGAAAGCAAAGCTTGCTGGTTGGCTGTGAAATTGGTGCCCAAACCAAAGTTGCCCTGCAGAATGCTGTGGGCCCCACGGGGAGGGGGGGGGGAGTAACGAGCAGCAGTGTCACGATATCCACACCTAACCTGTCCCCAGCGTGCATACATCACTTGGCCTCTCTGTTTCTCTGTTTCTAGGACCATTACTAAGGAAAGTGTCTCTGAAACATTTTTATTGTCAAAGAAGGAAAACAAAATCACTTCCATTTATTTATCCTATACCAAGATCCTACCTACTACCTAATATTTTTAGCTGATTTTCAGGGGGAAATTGTGTGTGTGTGTGTGTGTGTGTGTGTGTGTGTGTGTGTGTGTGTCCTTTGAAGTCATTTTTCTCCCAAGATCATAATTATAGTTTATTTCTTATCAGTACATCAGACAAAGTAAACTAAAAGATTCCTAAGAAATGGTAGGCACCTGTGGTTCAAGTCTGACACCTGAGGACCACAGCCCAAAGCCAGCCTAGACAGGAAAGTCCATGAGACACTTACCTCTAATTAACCAGCAAAACAGAAGTGGAGCTGTGTCTCAAGTGGTAGAGTGCTAGCCTTGCTTGAAAAAAACATCCAGACCCTGATTTGTGGCACAAAAAGAAAAATAGAAAAGAAGCAACATTTTAGATCCCTGAACCAACTGAAATCTCCGTTCCCTTGCCATTGCAAGTCATGGGTCCTTCGTCTTGTTTTGATTGGATGTGACCTGCAGATCTCAGCAGCAGTGTGGACTGGCTGCAGAAAGCTTGGCCCCTTGGATGGTTGGAGCTGAGATACAGGAGCCCACTGGGCAGGACCTCAGGACATGGCCCCTGGCTTGAGGGCACCCATGGAATCTCCTGCCCCTTGACCTAAAGAAGTTAGTAGAGTCAACATCCTCAGGAGCAGCCAAACCAACTGCCCCTGCCGCCAAGCTGGGATGGCGGGGAGGGCTGGGAAGCTGCACATTGGGTTAGTAGGTCTGTAACCAAAGACCCATCCATCTTTGCTGGCTGGTGGCTGACTGGATTTCTATTATTAGCCGGCAGGTGATGGATCCAACTAGGGAATCCCCAGCGGAAGATAAATGAGAAAGGGGCTTGGGTGTAAACAAAGGCGCCCTCTGGTTGACCTCAGTCCCAGACCTGGGACACATCAGCTGTTCTCTGCCCTGCTCCCCACACCCCCACCAGAACTGGGGCACCAGGTTCACGCTGTGTAAATTATCTTCCCAGCCAGGAGTCTGGCTGTTCTGTCTGAAGTGTGTGAATGTACTTAACCTTCAGTGACCTTCCCATTGTTTACTTTAGAGTATACATTTGTAGCTTCTGGCAAAAGGTAGGGATGAGCTAAAGGGCTGCCAGCCGCCTCTATTAATGGAGTTACAAGAAATTGCATTCATTTTTTTTTAATCCTGAAAGGAAAAACATGGGCAAAGGAGAAGAATTTTTCCTTTTTTATTAACTGTAAATGTGAATACTTTGTAAATGAAGGGTCATTCAGAAATCCCAGCCTCCCGCGCGGCGGCCCAGGCTGGGGGTGCAGGGTGAACCGCCATTTCTCCTCTCAGCGCGGGGGCGGCCGTGATTGGCGGGCCATCCTTTGATACTCGTACAAGGCTGCCTTATTCTTTTATTACTGCCTGCCTTTTTAGGATACTTGTCCAGGATTTTAAGTAGCTGGTAAGCAGGCGTTGATTTGCTCTCTTCTAACGTACCCGGCACTGGTAGATGGTTTTCCTGCGTGTTAGAGCACGCGCAGCCGCCGCATGTACCCCACACAAGCACAGCCTGCAGTCGGAAGCCAGGCCGGCAGCCTCGGTGCCTGGAAATGGCTATTGGGCTGAGGCTCCAAGTAGAGCTAATGCATTCACTTCCTGATCTGACTCCTCTCCAGTGCAAAAAACAAATTTGATTGCGTAGCTCAAGAAAAGTTGAGTCCATGAAAGACAGAACATAGACCTCCACATGTTTTAAGGATTAGCATACGGCTCATTATTAATTTGTATTGGATTTTCAACTCAAACATTTCTTACTGCCTAAGACCCAGAACTAAGTTTTCTGAATGTTTTCTAGGGAAGCCCAACTGTATCAAATGGACCAAATTTCCATGCTATTTTTCCTGTTACATTTAAAATATCCCTAGGATAGATAACACTGAAATAAACCTTTTTCTGCCTAAAGCCTTCTTTTCATTAGATTATTTTCTTGGGTCACATACCTTAGCAAGCAATTAGCAGTCAAAGGTTAATAAATTTTATGGCTCACAAATGAAGTAGGTCTCCAAATGATTAATTCAGAAAACTTAGTACTGAGAACTGAGAATATGGCTCCGGAAGGGCACTTACCTGACATGTGCAAGGCCACAGGTTCCATCCCTGCATACGTGTGCACACGCACACATCACACATCACACACCACACACATTCTTGCTAATTGTTACCATAAACAATGTGAAAGAAACTAACTTTACCTCTTATTGTCAGCAGTGGATGCTATTAGTATTTCTAATAGATGGTGTCTTGCTTTCAATTCTTACCTGTGTAGCTGTGACGTATGCTAACGTCCCGTTGCTTCTCCTTGATACCTGACAGCTAACTCCGGATCCCTGCAAGGCCCCCAGACCCCCCAGTCAACCGGCAGCAACTCGATGGCGGAGGTTCCAGGTGACCTGAAGCCGCCCACCCCAGCCTCCACCCCTCACGGACAGATGACCCCCATGCCGGGAGGAAGGTATGTTCCCAGGACTTGGAGCCATTTGCAACCACTCTATTTTACCTCTGGAGTTTTCTGAAGCAGGCTTAATAGGAAGAAAAAATGTACTAAGTCTTAAAATGTTCATCACTTCTAGATGTACTTGTAGTTTGCTTTGGGCTGTTTTGCACAGACAGATCTCAGGATTGGTTTATTTTTCAGTGTGTTGTTTGTTTGGTGGTCACCGGCCATACCACTAAACTTTTATTTTTTCCTCTTTCCAGAAGCAGTACAATCAGTGTGCACGACCCATTCTCAGACATGAGTGATACGTCGTTCCCCAAGAGGAACTCCATGACCCCCAACACCCCGTACCAGCAAGGCATGAGCATGCCAGACATGATGGGAAGGATGCCCTATGAGCCCAACAAGGACCCCTTTGGTGGAATGAGAAAAGGTATGTGCAGATGGGCACTGCCCATGCTCCAGCGAGGCCCACGGCCCGGTCGCCTGGTTGTTCAGAACAACTCCCAGGGCCTACTACCTTGCAGTACCTAGCCTCCTGCCCCACTAAACTGGTAGCCTGGGAAAAAGTAATTGTGATAAGCGAAGTATTCATGCTAAATACTTCCTGCATCTAGAAATGGGGAAAATAGCAGGAAAAAATAAGCCACAACTGTTTTATTGAAGATCACGGTCAGTGGAATAAAGCAAACAAAAAGGACAAGATGCAAATAGCATGATGTCGGCTGGGGACAGTGGAAGGAGAAGGCTACTGAGCTCAGATGGTCTGGGTAGAAGGCAAGGAGGAGATGCAGGATGAGGTTGAACAGGTGAGAGAGGAGGGGAGGGGAGGGAAGAAAGGAGAAGGGGGCACTAGAGAAGGGAGCTAGGCTCCCTTGGAGGCAGCAGATGCCCAGACACAACCAGTGTGGGCACCCCAGCCAAAGGCATCAGTTTTCTGTGCAGCAGATTGACGTGTTTGGGTTTTTCTGTTGAAAGATACTTAAGGAAGTAATAACACTTGATTTTTTTGCAAAAATAGACAGCGTGATAAGCAACCTTCTATGGGGCAGGTATTGAACAAAGTGAGAGAGAGGAAGGACAGCTTGGATTGGAGAGAACCTCACCGCTGCTGCCTGCTCTGGGCGTGCTGATGGGTGAACACGGCGCTCAGAGCCACGCATGTGCGTGGGAAGGCGAGATGGCTGCATACCGCAGGCCAGCTGGGAAAGGAGCAGAGTAGAGAAGGAAGGGTATGTGGAGGAGGTGAACAGTGGACTGCATGTCTGGAGCTGGTCAGAGATCAGAATTAGGGGAGACTTCGTCTGCAGCTGTGTCTTGGAGGAGGAAGTCAGGGGTGGAGGGGGCATTGTCTTTGCACACTAGGAATCCCAAAGTGGATTCCTCCTTTCCCAGGTGAGCCCCGAGGTTGATCCACCTTGAGAGTGTGCTCATCAGCCCCAACTGGAAACCTGACAGTTTGGGTCGGGGTATTCTTTTGCAGTTGTGTCCTATGTAATTAAGGCATCATGTGAAATCATGTGAATATGACTGGGGTTTTTTTATTTTGGTTTTTTTTTTTTTTTGTCGGTCATGGGGCTTGAACTCTGGGCCTGAACACTCTCCCACTTGAGCCACAGCGCCACTTCCGGTTTTCTGGTGGTTTATTGGAGATAAGAGTCTCACGGACTTTCCTGCCCAGGCTGGCTTTGAACGAGACCCTCAGATCTCATCCTCCTAAGTAGCTAGGATTACAGGCGTGAGCCACCGGCACCCAGCTGTTTTGGGGGGTTTTCTTGCCAGTGCTGGGGCTTGCGCTCAGGGCCCGGGCACTGTCTCGGAGCTGCTTTTGCTCCAGGCTGTCAAGGGTTTCACAGCTTCTTTCCTAGTCACATGCTGCCAGGCACGCCATGAAACCTGTGAGCTCAGCCAAAAGCTTTATGGCTGTTTCATGTAGCTGTTTTTCCCAGTGGTTCACGGTGCTCGATAGTTCATTCTGTGAGAGCTTTCGGTGTCTGTATTCTGTTTCCAAACTCAAAATAAGACAGTCACGTGGAAAAGTAATTACAGCGGACCTTCGTAGTCCAGGGTCCCGGTCCCAGGGTCCAAGATGGCGCTGGCCACACCACGCACCCGCCCTCCGCTGGCTCCCCACAAATCTGGAAATTTCACCGTCACCTCATTAAGCACATTCACTTTTGCTTGGGGGGGGGCGGGGAGCAAATGTTCACAGATGAAGGGCAGACAGCCACGCCACAGGGCTCAGTGACTTGCAGCACATGTGTGGGGATGTAAAATGTTTATCTTTGAAATTTATTTCATTTTTTTACATATTTTATCATGTTTTATCAAACTAATAAGTTCATGAATGATAGGGGCTTAGTGTGGTAGCTGCCGCACATGCTTGGAAGGTGACTTAAAACTCTATGGTAGTTATGCCAGTATCCCCCTATGTGAGACACCTGGAGTTTCTTCACACTTAGAATCCGCTTGCTACAAAAACGTGTTCGGAGGCTGGAGAAGTTACTGTGGGATTGTTACTAGCCAGCCACAGGACGCGTCCTCATCGACACTGTGCGTTGCGACTGGCGCTCCTACTGCGTCTCAGCTCCCCGGCTACCTCACGACACCAGTGTAGTCAGTGCCAGATTAAAACAGATAAACAGCAAGTCCCCGGGAAACGTTTTCTCACAGCCCTAACACCATTCTAAATAAAGTCTTCCGACCTTCAGTCTGCCCTATCCTGCCAGTGACCTGGGCAGTGCTCTGGTTAGAGCAGCGTCAGTGGCAACCGCGTGGTTGCCACTGCCGTGCCGCATTGCCAAACAGTGAGTCAGAGCCGCAGTGCGCAGTCCAGCCTGCGGAGCTAGCTCCGCCTGCCCGCCTGCCTGCCCACCCGCCTGCCTGCCCGCCTGCCTCCCTGCCCCTGTCTCGTGGAGGAAGGATTTGGATACCCAGTTGTCCTCTGACTATATTCTGAACATCCCATCTGTACACAGAGCTGTACTCACTCTTGTAATTAAATAATAACAGTGTTCTAGTCTTGGATAGATTGTTTTCCTCATAGCTTGTTGGTAGAAATAGTGATGCTGTTCTTTTACACTTGGGACATTATTATATAGTCAGATTTTTGTCAAATAATAGAACCCTCTTTTCCTTCAAGTATCTCAGTCATTTTTTTTAACGAATCATCTCAGAACTTTGTGGCCTTATACAAAGTGTGTCCGTGGCTGCGTGATGGACAGGACCGGGTAGGTCTCCACTCTAGAAGTCGTCTGCTGGATGCAGAGCGGCGGCCAGGCCGACAGCCAGACTGGCAGTGTGCAGTAGATGGGGCGCCTCTGGGGTGGTTCTCAGAGTCTCTGCCAGCACCTCCTCCAGACTTTGCTGCGTAGCTTCTGGTGGGAGGAGGCCCAGGACATAACAAATGGGGCCAGAGAAGAAGAAAGAATAATAGGGGTGGAATTTGGTCAAAGTCCATTTATGCACGTATGGCAATACCTTGAAACCATCTTTGTTCAGTTGACATACCCTAATGAAAGCAAAAAAGGAAGCTTCCAAGGGGACAAGCCCTAGTGGCAAGCTTGTCCAGGCATACGCCTGCACGCATTTGCCATTGGTCACATGACCCAGGCCAGAGTCATTGTGGGAGGGCGCTTCACAGGCTGTGGATGTCTGCAGGTGTGCTGCTTCTATTGCCAAAGCAGCCGCGCCGAGCAAGTACTGGCAAAGGTTGCGTGAGTTTAACACTGCGTAAGAATGTGGAAGGGCGAATGGGCTCTCTCCGCCGAGTCAGAACGATTACTATCAGCCGTTTTAATCAGATTGGCCCAAAAGTTAAAAAGGCGTCACGTAATTGTTTTAACTCCGATTTCTTTCATTATTAGTGAGCTCACGTGTTTTGGGTTTTTTTCTCATACAATGATTACCCGTTTGTTTTTCTTTTCTGGGAATGGGCTTGCCCATTTTTAGTTTTTTCTTTTTTTCTCTCTTTTTTTTTTTCCTATTGCTTTTTCAGAACTCTTATGTGTCTGGGAGTTAAGCTACCTAACTAATTATGCCTCTTGATTTCTGCCTATCTTTGCTTTCACATCTGTGAAATGGAAAGTAGTTTCAAAACTGGGTCTGCCGTAGCTCTGACATGAGATCAGACGGGCGGAGGCCGAGGTTCCGGGGCAGGGCACAGGGTGCCCTGTTCAGTGCCAGGCTCTGCTCCCAGCTGACAGAACTCACCAGTCCCCAAATTCCAGTCTGCTTTTGCCACGATAGCGCAACATTGCCATAGATGGATTAAAGTTCAAATTGAATTACTGCGGTCTAATTCCTGTCCTCAGTACAGGCTCTGAGCATATACAAAGGTGCGCATGCAGCCTTGTGCAGGCTGGCACTCCGTCAGCCATGGGTCTTCTCCTCCATCATGAGCTGTTCTCCTATCACAGTTTGCTTCTTCCTGGTTCTGGACTACGTCTAAGCAGGAGTGTTTATGTTGTGGTTTCGGGGTTTCTTAGAAGGGAAGGGCACTCTGGTGTACAAGTGTCAGGTCTCCACCGCTTCATCACTCACCTTGTTGTCTAGATGAGGACTCACGTGCAAGTTAGTAACTTACCTGAGTGGAGGTGGAGGTGGAGGTGGGCCCGTGTGACCCGACTTAGCAGCTGGTGATGGGGAGATGAGGCCCTTGTGCCTTTTGCCAGGCGTGGGGCGTGGTGTGGCTGCGGCTTCTGCTCACTGTCTCAAAGGCTAACCCCAGGGTGTCAGCCAGAACGGAGCCCTCCTTGGAGGCCAGGCGCTCGCTTTCTGTGGTGGTAGGGCAAAGACGATGGGTTTCTCTCGGCCATCCTCTGTCAGCTCTTGCTGACGGGGTCCTCTGCCCGGCATGGCTCCATCTTTTTTCCTGTGTACCCAGATTTGAAGCCTGGCGGGCTCCTCTGGGCTGCTGAGTAGCATAGTTCCGCTGTGAAATCCCTGTTGCAGTGTCATACGCCATCATCATGGCCTCAGCCCTGCGCTCCTCGGCCCTGCGCTCCTCGGCCCTGCGCTCCTCGGCCCTGCGCTCCTCGGCCCTGCGCTCCTTGGCTCTGGGCTCCCGCAGGCGAGGGCTCACACACAGGCATGTCTTTGGGGCTTCTCCCCCAGAGCCCATGTCATTCGGATTGAGATCCGCTAGATAATGTCGGGGAAAGGAATGGCCGGGAGGGTTTTGCAGCTGCTTACTTCTGTACTTTTTTGAAATACTGCAGTGCCTGGAAGTAGCGAGCCCTTCATGACTCAAGGACAGATGCCCAACAGCAGCGTGCAGGACATGTACAACCAAGGTCCCTCTGGAGCCATGTCTAACCTGGGCATGGGGCAGCGGCAGCAGTTCCCCTACGGAGCCGGGTACGACCGAAGGTGAGCGCTCCTAGGGGAAGACGAGATGGTTCACAGCGCCGTGGGCTTCGCCCTCATGAGGGGCTCTCCCTGCCAGAGCTGACGCCAGTCGCCGAGTGGCATCAGGTGGCTGCCGTCAGTGGACAGCAGCTGCAGGATCAAGCACTGGTTCCAAGCAGCCAGGTGGCTCTGTGTGATTGCTTGCAAACACTCAGACAGAGAAATTAACTCTCAGGGCGGGTCTAGTTGTGATCTCTGTCTCCTTAGAAGCCGGAACCCTGGCAGCTCACTGCACTGGTCCCCTAACTCCTGCTCCCCGCTGGGGTGGCCCCGCTGCAGCCCAGGTGAGGCTCCTGTAGGAGCTCCCGGGCTCCCGGGCCTTCCGCACTGGCCCCCTCCTCGCGTCCCTCAGAACAGCCGGGCGGTGCCCGCGCCGGCCTTTCAGGCTCTCAGCACAAGGTCTTCCAGACATTGCATTGTCAGGTGGCCTTCCTCCTTCCACGAATGTCTAACAGAGCATAGTTTGCTCTTCACACGCGTCTGTGAGGAAGCCCTGCACTCCTGCTCAGCACGCCTCTCCAAGGAGCCGCCTCCCAGACTGCTGCTCACTGAAGAGGTGGAGAGGCTTCCTGAGCTGTCAGAAGCCCGCCTTGTGCTGACACTCTCCCTCCCTATCTCCCACCTCCCCTCTCTCCCTCTCTCTCTGTCTTTCTCTCTCTCTCTCCCTCTCTTTTGCAGGATTTATTTTAGAATAGAATAAAGTTGGGAGAAACGGAAAAAAAGAAACGTTTCTTATTCTCCATGCAGGAAGTGGAAGCTAAAAACTCCTAGGAAGGGAAATTCCTGAAGCCAGGCTTTATCTGACACTTGTGACTCAGGGCCTCACACTCTTGCTTGGATTTTGTCCTCACAGCTAGCACTCTACCATTTGAGTCAAGTCTCCAGCCCAGCTTTTTCCTGTAACTGGAGATGGAGTCCTTGAGACTTTCCTCCCCAGGCTGAGCTTCAGACTTCAATCTTGTGGTTCTCGGCCTCCTGAGTAGCCAAAATTACTGGCACAAGCTCCTGATTCCTGGGTAATACTAGTGATTTTTAAAAAGCAGAACAGGACACACAGGGAGAAAATGCCTGTCTGCACCAGGGCCATCCCCTCTCTCCTACCCTTCCCCCCTCCCCCATTCACACACACACACACACACACACACCACACGCACAGCACAGCAGGATAGGGCTGGCCTCTAGACCTTCCCCCAGGAACTGAGGGCAGCCTGGCCCGAGTGAGCCCCTCCCACCAGCGCATCTTGGGGCTGAGGGAAGGGTTGGCAGTGGAAAGTAGCCCGTGGTTTAAGGCAGCCAGGGAACATTTGAAAACTCACTCTTTTACAGATAAGGTTGCTGTCTTGAACTCAGAGCTCCACCTTGCTAGGCAGGCAGTGGGCCACATGAGCCACGAAAGCCCACGCCCTTTGTGCCTGGTTATTTTGGATAAGATCTCACGCTTTTTGCAGAAGCCTCCTATCTCTGCATCCCTCATAGCTGGGATTATAGGCATGGTGTGCCTAGCTTGTTGTTGAGATTGGGATCTCAGTAACTGTATGCTTGAGCTGGACTTGAACCATGATCCTCCCGATCTCCATCTTCCAAGTAGATGAAATTACAGACATGTACCACCATGTTTCCCCTGAACTCTATCTCTTGAAAACACAGACCCCATACTGTGCTCATAGTGTCAGAGTACATTCTCCTAGTGGATTAGGATTTTATTCCAATTCCTACCCTGGTCAGTATCCACTTAAAATAACTGCCCTCATCAGATAACTATTACCCCGCAATTAATGCATCAGATCGGGATTTTAATCTGGTTTGCTTTGGTTTGAAGGATCTAGTAAAGGCAATTGATTTTTTTAGGCATCTATTCCAAACAATTTTATGTCTCAGAATCCCAGATCTGTTACAGTAAATATGCTGTGTAGATGGCATTTATAATTTCTCAGTATGATAGCAGTTGGTAGTTTTCATTTCCATGTCAAGATTTACTAGGAATACATTGCCTTTCAGGTCATAGAACTTTGAACTTAGAGTGTTTGTGTTTGTACAATTATTAGCTAATTCAGCATGGTTGGAATTGATTTGAAATATGCCTTTAAAACTTGTATTTATGATAAGAGTATGTAAATAGAACTATTTTCCAGGTAGGTTCTAGAACTTAAACGCTTAAGTGTTAGATTCTTCTTGCTTCTTGCTTCGCTAGCTCCTCCCCTCACCGCGTTGTAGGGCTGGCACTGAGGGAAACTTCAGTGGGTGGGCGGGGCGTGGGGCTTCACCTCAAAGGCACAGGCTAGAAGCCTGGACAAGTGCTTACACTGCACCTGCCTGTTCAACCGGTATTCTGACACCCATTCACAGCAGCCAGAGCAGGGAGAAGGGCGTTCCCACCCCTCCTGTGAAAGCCGCCATGGAGCTGCCTGGGGAGAGGATGCGGGGAAGACAAAGCTTTGGGGAAGGTTCCCTGGAATGGATTGTCGGGGTCTGTGCTCTTCCGATGACCTTTGTAAATTAAGTTTTCTCTGAATGCCTTGTTGTAGGCATGAGCCTTACGGGCAGCAGTACCCAGGCCAGGGCCCTCCAGCCGGACAGCCGCCTTATGGAGGACACCAGCCTGGCCTGTATCCTCAGCAGCCGGTGAGTTGGTAGGTGGGCGTGGGTCTCCGCGTCGCTTCTGAACATATGGAAGCGTAACAGAAGCCATCAGCCGTACTGAACTTGCAGGATCTGTTGGGCTAGAAAGGACTCGTAGGATTTTGAAGTCAGTAAATTAAAAGCCGCTCCTGCTCCATAGCATTCTGTGTGTGTGTGTCATAGCTGTATGTGTGTCTGTGAGCCCAAGGGGGGGGGGGAAGGGATCTATTGTACACGTGTGTCTGTTACGTTCACACACCTGCCAGACATACCTGAAAATGTACGTGATTTTCCTCATCATGATTCCCCAGTTCTACAGGTAGAGCAGTTTGTACAGGACTCAGTGACATCACTTAAGGTAGTCTGCGGCACAGGATTAAGCTATATGTGTGGGTGTGCAGAGGTTTAGTGCAAAGACTGAGCCATTTTATCTGATTCTGGTATCGTTCAATTTGGGTATCCGGGGGGTCTGGAGTCCATCCCCGTGTGCACTGAGACACAAATGTGCATACCAAAATTCTTAGCAGAACAGAAATTTGTTCATATTTTAAAGAATACATGGAAAAAGCAACTCAAGCCAGGCGCCAGTGGCTCACGCCTATAATTGTAGCTACTTGGGAGGCTGAGATCTGAGGATTGTGGTTCAAAGCTAGCCTGGGCAGGAAAAGGCTGTGAGACTCCTATCTCCAATAAACCACGAGAAAGCCGGAAGTGGCGCTGTGGCTCAAGCGGTGGAGTGCTCGCCTTGAGCTGAAGAGCTGAGGGACAGCACCTAGGCCCAGAGTTCACCCCACGACCACCACCACCACCACCACCCCCCAAAAAAATGTTCCATGGTAAGAGTGAAAGGTAGCCGGGTTTTGAAGAAGAGCAGCTAAGGCCATGCATTTGAGTGACTGGAGTGGATCCCAGCCTGCGGCCTCCGCGCCAAAGCCGGGGTGGAGGCCCAGGCAATGCCTTTCAGACATAGGTGTGGGGCTTGGCTATTTCGAATCAGCCTCTCAGGTCTGAGAGCTCTGCACAATAGAGGCATTTCTTTCAGGACTTTCTAATCACCAAGTTGTCTTTAGCTATTCCTTTTTCTGGAGCAACTATGTCCAGTGAATTTTATTACCAGAACCATGGACTTTAACAGTTTTCAAGCAGAGTGAAAGAATGCTTGTTGAAAGCCTCAGCCTGCGGATGCCTCCCATCAGGAGACGCACATCCACCTGGGTGACATTAGTCCCCAAAGAGCCACCGGGGAGAGCGTAGCGACTGGCGCCACGCTCAATCCCCGCAGGGCTTTCCCTGGGGTCTGGCTTGGAACAGGTGGACAGTAGGTGGGGGCTGTAGGATGCGCAGTGATAGCAGGGCGCTACAGCCATGTCTGTGGTTTGTCTATGAAAATAAAAAGATGGCTCACACCTATAATCCTAGCTACTGCTGCTCAGAAAGCTGAGATCTGAGGACGGTGGTTTGAAGCCAGCCTAGGCATAAAAGTCTGTGAGATTCCTACCTCACAATTAACTAGCAAGGTGCAGAGTATGGTAGAACACTAGCCTTGTGTGGAAAAACCAAGTGAGTACCATTACCCAAAAAACCCACGCAACCCTTTCGTATTAAAAATAATAAAATGAAGATAACAAAGGTTTTCCTGGGGTTCTTTGGCTCACAGACCGCTCCAAAGACCCTGGAGCCCTGAGGGGATGCCCCTGACTCCTGAGGTCACTTTGGTGTTCCCCATCAGGGCCACCGCTGTGCAGTGGCCATCAGTGTTGCACTGCTGGGGCAAAGTCAAAGTCCCAGGGACTTGAACTTGCACAGCCCTCGGCAGAGTGTGAGGCACGGAACTGTGTGACCCTGAAATGCAGTCCCGAGCGTGCAGTGCGCAGCGACATTTCCCAGACTCATTTTAAGTGACCCCTCTACTAAGGAACAACGGTGTTGCGTAACTTGGGCTTGTGCACGCATACACGTGTACGAGCCCGTCAGTATGGTCTGTCTTTATGTGAGTTTCAGAATTACAAACGCCACATGGATGGCATGTATGGGCCTCCAGCCAAGCGTCACGAGGGAGACATGTACAACATGCAGTACGGCGGCCAGCAGCAGGAGATGTACAACCAGTATGGGAGCTCCTACTCTGGCCCAGACCGGAGGCCCCTGCAGGGCCAGTACCCGTACCCATACAACAGAGAGCGGGTGCAGGGCCCGGGCCAGATGCAGCCACACGGAATCCCGCCTCCAATGATGGGCGGCCCCATGCAGTCGTCCTCCGGCGAAGGGCCGCAGCAGAATATGTGGGCTGCACGCAACGACATGCCTTACCCGTACCAGAACAGGCAAGGCCCGGGCGGCCCTGCACAGGCCCCCCCTTACCCGGGCATGAACCGCACCGATGAGATGATGGTCCCCGACCAGAGGATCAACCACGAGAGCCAGTGGCCTTCTCACGTCAGCCAGCGCCAGCCTTACATGTCACCCTCGGCCTCCGTGCAGCCCATCACCCGCCCACCCCAGTCATCCTACCCAACGCCACCGTCACTGCCAAACCACATCTCCAGGGCGCCCAGCCCCGCCTCCTTCCAACGCTCCCTGGAGAGCCGCATGTCCCCAAGCAAGTCTCCCTTTCTACCCACCGTGAAGATGCAGAAGGTCATGCCCGCCGTCCCCACGCCCCAGGTCGCCGGGCCTCCAGCCCAGCCGCCCCCCAGCCGCAGGGAGATCACCTTTCCTCCCGGCTCCGTGGAGGCCTCACAGCCGGTCCTGAAGCAGAGGCGAAAGATCACCTCCAAAGATATTGGTAAGCACCGCACACGTTTGTTCCAGAAACTAGGAGAAGTTTAACTTGAGTTTTGTTTAGAGGTAATTTCTGTTCAGCTCAGTGCAATGAGGTTCTTTTGACTGCAAACTATCAGTATGTTTTTGTGGAACTGGAAGCCACTAATCTGAATTCAAAGGAACGGTACCAGAGAAGAGTTTGAATTAAAGTGATCGTTTTAGCTACAAACATTGTTTATGTGAGAGGTTTGGAAGTCCTCCGTGACTGAGTGCTGTGTGTTAGAGTTTACCTTAACTGCTGCAGTATGTGCTTAATGAAAACCGTCAGTGCTCTTACTACTCAGATCTGGCAATAGCATGCAAACAACTTCTATGGGCGCAGCAAGAAACCTGGCCGAGATAGGGACATAGGTAGAGCGGGCGCACTAGCATGTCAGAGTCCATCTGCATGCACGGGTGACGGTGTGAGGAATGGGGCTCCTGGGTCCCACACACCACTGGCCGGTGGGGGCTCCCGGCTCTCCTGCACCTGAATGCTGCCATCGCCTGTCTGCTCACGGCACAAGTGTCTGAGCGTGCACACAGCTCTTCTGCATTTATTCTGAAACTGTTTCAACACAGCAAGGAAATGATCTTTTTTTATTTTTCAAAACAAATCTCAAGCATTTGAAATCATTTGTCGTGATTGGTAAATTAAAGGTATGAATGGATGATATTAGAGATGCTTTTATTCATTGGGCATCCCCATACATACATAGCGCAAGACAGTAAAGTGTGTTTTACCTGTGGAGGACTCGAGAGAGAGCCAGGTTCAGATACGAAATACCGTCCTGTACATAGAAATATTTAACTGCAACATGAACTCGTACATTTCCATGCTCAAATACACCCACTGGAATTTTATCAAAAAATGTTAGTGTACACTCAGGTAGTGTTACCTTCCACATGGGTAAATGTATACCCCTTTTCAAATGCTTGACCTTGTCTTAACCTTAATAGGCACCTGAGAATGTTTGAGAAATAGAATCAAAAAGACGGCAGATTACTGCGGGGGCCGGAGCACCCTGCCCTCGGGTGGGTAGTCGCTAGCTCACGTGGCAGGGCTGCTGTGACCCCTCCCAGCTCCCCACCATCCATACAAATCTCACAACTTTCTTACTTCTTTTATTTTTGGGTCCGGTCGTGGGTCTGAACTCTGGGCCTGGGCACTGCCCTCAGCTCTTCAGCTCAAGACTAGCACTCTACCACTTGAGTCACAGCGCCACTTCCGGCTTTTTTCTTTTTGCTTATGTGGTGCTGAAGAGTCGAACCCAGAGCCTCATGCATGCAAGGCAAGCGCTCTACCACTGAGCCACCTTCCCAGCCCAGAAATCTCATAACTTTCTATCCAATCCTTGTGTTCTCTTCTGTAACAGAAATAGGGAACTCGAGAAGGTTTCCCACTCATTGGGAAGTGCCAATGTCTGTCCATGAGGCATTCTGAGGGCAGGGCACAGAAACAGGAGAAAACAGCACAGAACCACCGAGGCTTTCTCTGGGAGGGCGTGCTGGTTTGGGATTTAACCGTGCTTTTTACAGTCTGCATACTTGGCCAGGCTTCTGAAAATACCACATTGAGACTTCTGAGTAGAGGAGGCAGAGGACAGAGGCTACTTTGGGGTTGGCTTATTGAACACTGACCATTTGGTGGTTAAAGAAATCTTTACCACATGCATCCATGTCTAGAAATACCTTTGGCTCAAGATGAACTAGCAAAGCAAAAAGATCAAAAACAGCACATGTTTTCTAGCACCTCCACTGAAAATCAGGTTGCCATGTTTGACTCTAGGGTCATTTGTATTTCACACCCTACTCTTCTGCTACTTTCTGTTCTTCCACAGATAGAGTGAATATTAATGATCGCTGTTCGTATTTCTAGTTACTCCTGAGGCGTGGCGTGTAATGATGTCCCTTAAATCGGGTCTCTTGGCTGAGAGCACGTGGGCTTTGGACACCATCAACATTCTCCTGTACGATGACAGCACCGTGGCTACTTTCAACCTCTCCCAGGTGAGCCGGCACCAGCCCCGCGGTGACCGCCCAACACCGCGAGGGGACTGAGGGGTGCAGAGCACCTGAGCTCATGCTCGGGTTGACAGCAGCTAGCTAGCCTTTGTAATCATTGTAATTAGCATAAGCCAACGTGAATCAATATGTAGATATCTGAGAATTTAGTCTGGGATATTTGTTTTAGTCTTTCGTATGTGGGGCTGGGAAGGTGGCTCAGTGGTAGAGTGCTTTGCCTTGCATGCGTGAGGCCCTGGGTTCGATTCCTCAGCACCACATAAGCAGAAAAAGCCAGAAGTGGTGCTGTAGCTCAAGTGGTAGAGCATTAGTCTTGAAGTTTTAGAATTTAATTTTAGAGTAAGTATTAGCAGGCCCATGGAAATTATTCAAAATATAATTAGAACTGCGGTCAGTGTAAAATGCAGCCAGCTTCAGTGGGGGCAGCCCCTGCTTTCCAGAAGGACTGGGCATCTTTTAATGAACAAGAAATCCTATGCTGTAGAAGAAGCAAGGAGTTCCCAGAGCCGCAGCCCCACCCTCCAGCTAACCCGGGCCTCCTGGCCACGCCTGCTTCCCAGTCTGTCCTCCAATCTCTGCTTCCATCTGGGTCATTTTGAAGCTTCTGTTTGTAATGAACTTGAAGCCTCCTGCAGGTAATTTCCAAGCAATGGCTTCATGAGAAATGTATCCAAAAGTCCTCCAGGCTGTGGAGCAGAGGGAGTGTTCAGTCGTGGTGTAATAACAACTCTACCTTTTGTGACAAAAGCCAGCATGTCCAGTTCCTTCTACTGAAGACAGACCAGAATCTTCTGTCTTGTTTTTTGTCTCTTACTTAACGTTTTCAGGGCAGCCTAGAGTTCTAATTTAATTTTCAATTGATAGAAATTGCGTGAGGCTCATTTTAATTTTTAAGAGTATTTTAAAAAATTAAAATATTTTGCCTTTTCTTGAGTAACTTCTGTCCTTACAGCAGGTAGAACCTACATTTTCCTACCCAGACTTGCTTTCTTAACTTTCCTATGACCCCAGGGGAAAAATACATTTAAAGGGTGAAGAAAAATCATCCAGACTTCCACTTGGAAAATTGTTCTTTTGGTAACTTAAAAGCAAGTACTTCGTGCACTTTGGTATTCGTGTACCTTTATGTCTAGGTTATTGTGCCAAACCCCCTTTTGAGAAACCCATGGTAAATAGAAAAGTCTGGTTGGTGCTCCCATTGCATCTGGATGGAAAAGACCTTCTTGTTACTCACTGGCTGCCTGAGGCCCCTAAGGGTGACAGGCCGGGTGCGGGCGGGGGGGGGGGGGGGGGGATGCAGTTGTGAGTGTACACATTTCCTCCGCACCCAGACGGGGGGCTGCTAGCACAGGCAGTGTCTCGCCTACCGGCTTTGTTTCTGTCAGCTGAAGCTGTGGATAACTGAAACGCAGAACTGTAGCCTGTGAAACATTCTGACTCATTTATCAGGGACTCTCTTGATTTGTTTCTAATTTTCAGTATTCTAGGAGCTACTGCCTTGCTCCAAAATACATAGGTGACATAAATGAAGGTAACTTAGGGCAGCCTCGGCAAGAATGATAGTCACAACCCCCAGCAGGCAAGTCTCCGACAAATAATAGAACCGTCCCTTTGGGTCAGAGAGTTTATAAACCCATGTTCCTCCTCCAGTACTACTTTCTTGTCAGAACATCTAACAAGTAAAAGGACAGTGGGCCACTGCCCAGTCAGGCCGTGGCGGAAGTCAGTGTTCCGGCCGCAGGCAGGGAGCGTGTTGCAGTTGAGTGGATCATGTGAGACTCGGCAAGGTTGTTCTCACAGGGGCATAGTATCCTGCTGCGGCCAGCCCGAGAGCAAGCAAGCATGCTGGAAGCTGCTGCAGCAGGTGTGATGGTACAGTTATAATCCCAGCTCCTTGGAAAGAGAGGTCAGGAGGATTTAGGGTTCAAGGCCAGCTCAGGCAAAAAGTTAATGAGCCCCGTCCCAACCAGCCATCCAGGTGTGTTGGTTCTTCCCTGTCATCCCAGCTTGGTGGAGGAAGTGGGTGCTGAGGACTGTAGTGAGGGCTGAGGCGTGTGCCTCCGCTTACAGCCCCTGCCTGAGTTCATGCCAACTGCAGCAGCGTGCCAAACGAAGCGCGGGCCATAGCACGCAGGGTTTCTACCCCTTCCAGTGAGAGCTGAGGTCATGACATTGTGCCTGTTCTTTCTTGTTCTCTTCCTCTTCCTCTCCAGTTGTCTGGATTTCTTGAACTTTTAGTAGAGTACTTTCGAAAATGCCTGATTGACATTTTTGGGATCCTTATGGAGTACGAAGTGGGCGACCCCAGCCAGAAAGCACTTGATCACAATTCAGGGGAGAGAGGTGGCTCCGTGGCCGACGATTCTGGAAAAGAGGAAGAAGACTCCGAGTGTCTAGAGGAGGAGGAGGACGACGATGAGGACGAGGACGAGGAGGAAGAGGAGGAGGAAGGTGAAAAGACGGAATCGGAGGCAAAGAGCAGCGCTGCCCTGGGCACCCCAGATGCCGGCGCTGACCCCAAGGAGAGGCCCAAGCAGGCCAGTAAGTTCGACAAGCTGCCAATAAAGATTGTCAGGAAGAGCAAGCTGTTCGTGCTGGACCGCTCGGACAGGCTGGGCCGCGCGCAGGAGTTCAGCAGCGGGCTCCTGCACTGGCAGCTCGGGGGCGGAGACACCACGGAGCACATCCAGACTCACTTCGAGAGCAAGATGGAGATCCCGCCTCGCAGGCGCCCCCCGCCCCCTGCCAGCTCCACGGGTAGAAAGAAAGAGCCAGAAGGCCAAGGCGACCCTGAGGAGCAGCCGGAGAAGAGCATCCTGGCCACCATCGACGACGTCCTGTGCGCTCGGCCGGGGGCTCTGCCCGAAGACTCAAACCCAGGGCCCCAGGCAGAAAGCGGCAAGTTCCCCTTCGGCATCCAGCAAGCCAGAAGTCACCGGAACATCAAGCTGCTGGAGGATGAGCCCCGGAGCCGAGATGAGACGCCGCTGTGCACCACGGCGCACTGGCAGGACTCGCTGGCCCGGCGCTGCATCTGCGTCTCCAACATCGTGCGGAGCCTGTCCTTCGTGCCGGGCAACGACGCGGAGATGTCCAAACATCCGGGCTTGGTGCTGATTCTGGGAAAGCTGATTCTGCTTCACCACGAGCACCCGGAGAGGAAGCGAGCCCCGCAGACCTACGAGAAGGAGGAGGACGAGGACAAAGGGGTGGCCTGCAGCAAAGACGAGTGGTGGTGGGACTGCCTGGAGGTCCTGCGAGACAACACGCTGGTCACGCTGGCCAACATCTCCGGGCAGCTGGACTTGTCTGCGTACACAGAGAGCATCTGCCTGCCCGTCCTGGATGGCTTGCTGCACTGGATGGTCTGCCCGTCCGCAGAGGCGCAAGACCCCTTTCCCACGGTGGGGCCCAACTCGGTCCTGTCACCCCAGAGACTCGTGCTGGAGACCCTGTGCAAGCTCAGTATCCAGGACAACAACGTGGACCTGATCTTGGCCACGCCTCCGTTTAGTCGTCAGGAGAAATTCTATGCTACGTTAGTTAGGTACGTTGGGGATCGAAAAAACCCAGTCTGTCGAGAAATGTCCATGGCGCTCTTATCGAACCTTGCCCAGGGGGACGTGCTGGCAGCGAGGGCGATCGCTGTGCAGAAGGGAAGCATCGGAAACTTGATAAGCTTCCTAGAGGACGGGGTCACCATGGCGCAGTACCAGCAAAGCCAGCACAACCTCATGCACATGCAGCCCCCGCCTCTGGAACCGCCGAGCGTAGACATGATGTGCAGGGCGGCCAAGGCTTTGCTGGCCATGGCCAGGGTGGACGAGAACCGCTCAGAATTCCTCTTGCATGAGGGCCGGTTGCTGGATATCTCGATATCAGCTGTCCTGAACTCTCTGGTGGCGTCGGTCATCTGCGATGTACTATTTCAGATTGGGCAGTTATGACATACGTGAGAAGCAAGCATGTATGAGTGAAGATTAGCGGTCACGTGTCACTGGCTGTTTTCTGTTCTTGTTTATCCAGCGTAGGAAGAAGGAAAAGAGAATCTTTGCTCCTCTGCCCCATTCACTATTTTACCAATTGGGAATTAAAGAAATAATTAATTTGAACAGTTATCCAATGAATATTTGCTGTCTGTGTGTATAAGTACATCCTCCTGGGTTGTTGGTTTTTTTTATTTTTTTTTTTAACCAAAGTTACTGTCTAGTACATTCAAAGGTCACCTTTTCTTTTTCACAGATATTTCTGTTTAACGTCCTTTTCCATGTTGTATTGCATTTTGGGGGGGAAGCAAATTGACTTTAAAAAGAAACGTTTTGGCTAAAGATGCTGAGATGGGAAAATTTCACCACACTGATGCAAACAGGTGGGAATGGTCAGTTTCTTACGTGCTTTATTCTTCAGAGAATGGAAAAAAACTGTATCCCATCACCCAAAGCTCTGTGCAATAGAAACTTCTAGAGAGATAATAGGTATAGGGGCTCAAGAGGTGTGTCAGTCAGTACTCAGAACTGAGTGGTTGCACTAGACTAGAAGCAAACCCGCCCCTGGCCTCGCGTGCCAGGACCCCACCCCCACGCTGGCCTCACGTGACAGTTCTTCACAATTCCTTTCAGCATTTTTTTAAATATTTTTTTTTTACTGCCTATGGGCTGTGATGTATATAGAAGTTGTACATTAAACATACCCTCATTTTTTTTCTTTCTTTCTTTTTTTTTTTTTAGTACAAAAGTTTTAGTTTCTTTTTCATGATGTGGTAACTACAAAGTGATGGTAGACTTAAATATTTTTTTTATTTTTATTTTATATATTTTTTCATTAGGGCCATATCTCAAAAAAAAAAGAAACAAAAAACACAAAAAACACAAACAAAAAAAACACAAAAAGAGGGTAATGTACAAGTTTCTGTATGTATAAAGTCATGCTCCGTTTCGGGAGAGTAGCTGATCACAATTTGCTTCATGAATCACGGTGTGGAAATGGTTGCATATGGATTGATTTAGAAAATGGTTACCAGTACAGGAAAAAAAAAAGAAAGAAAAAAACTTCAACTAAAAGGAAGAAACACAACTTCAAAGATTTTTCAGTGACAAAAATCCACATTTGTATTTCAAGATAATGTAGTTTAAAAAAAAAGAAAAAGAAAAAGAAAAAAACTTGATGTAAATCCCTCCTTTCCCTCTGGCTTAATGAATATCATTTATTCAGTATAAAATCTTTATATGTTCCACATGTTAAGAATAAATGTACATTAAATCTTGTTAAGCACTGTGATGGGTGTTCTTGAATACTGTTGTAGTTTCCTCGAAGTGGTTTCCTAGTAATGGAGTTATTGACAGGAAATAGGGGACATGTGGCCGTGTGTCCCCCTCATTACACATCCCCGCAGTCAGAAGGGGCCTTTCGGGGTTACCTTCAAGTCTGATTTTCTCAAATTCTTTAGCTGATTAGTCTTCCTTTGAAGCAGTTCACTCGAACGACACTGAGGTGTAGCAATGTCACACTGAGGTGTAGCAATGTCCGGTGGACGGGAGGCCGCTGCCACCCCTGCCAATGGGAGGCCTCCTCGCGCACTGGCCCGAAGATGCCACGGTCTGCCTTTCACTAACTCCATCGACGTTAATCACCACTCAATCCTTCCCATGGTTCTTCTGTGTGCCTCAAAGTTCCTCTGGATTTAGTTTATTTCAGCGTGTATAATATTTATATTGTGCAATGTTAAAAAATGACTATGTTGTATTGTATGCGGTGTACATAGTGAAAAGTGATTATTTCTATTTCAGGGCATATGATTATTCTCATATTTCTTCCTACCTGGTGCGCAGCAGCTTTTTATATTTGTCACTTCTGAGGTAAACTCAACTCTTTCTGGGTCATTGACTGTTATTGTGTAACAATCGATTGCTTCGAGCCTTCTGCCTAGCGATGCTGTTCTGGACCCCTTCTTACGCGGCTCTACCTCTCCCTGCTCCTCCCACCAGTGCAGGCCCCGACTGCAGACCTGTGCCACCCGCTGCCGTAGTTCACCCTTGTCACACTGCAACCCGGGAGAGTTAGCCAGCAGCACACAGCTCTCATCCACCATAGACCATTCTTTCTGGAGTCAGCAGGGGAAAAAAAATCATTTTTTTCTGCAAACATTCTGATCTGTCAACTTCTGCATCCCCTAGTCTTAAGTAACAATGCAGCCAAATATATGTGGAATTAAACACACATTTACAGTTTAAATACATCTGCTTGCTAAGAACAGATTTTAATTTTCCAAGCTTAAAATATAGAGGTTTGTAAGAGGGAATTCAATATTATTCTAATTTCTCTCTTACAGAGTATGAATAAAAGGTGTATGCAAACTCAAGTTATCTAATATCCCAATTCTTTTTGTCAATTGCAAGGGCAAAGTCACTCTGAAACCCCGTGGTTGGCGCTTTGAGCTGTGGCAGGCAGGAGCGCTGGGCAGCGTGTGGCATGCGCAGTGCCGCACAGCCCCAGCTCCCCTGGAAGGCAGCGACCTTTCCCCACTCAGCCCGCAGCCAAGATGCAGCGGAGCCCACGAAGCACGGGCAGCTGCTCCACACATCTTGCCTATAAACTGAGTTATTGCTTTGTCCTAAAAAAATTAGTGGGTTTTTTCCCCCATGAGGCTTTTCAGAAATTTACAGGATGCCCATATTTTAAAATGTGTACCAAAAAAAAAAAAAGATAAAAATAAAGGTGCAAAGAAAGTTTAGTATTTTGGAATGGTGCTGTAAAGTTGAATCTGTTGGTATTTGAGTGCATTTTTTTGAATGTCACCTAGGAGATATATTATTGGGTAGCATCTGCTCAAAAAGCAGTGTTTTGATTAAGTTGGTCACATTCTAGAGTGACTTCAGAAATGACAGGGGACGTCTTAGCCCAGTGCAAGCACTTCCCTTTGCTCCGAAATCCATCCAGCTCTGAACTGTTGGGGGATTTACCTCCTGCCAGACCACGTGTACCGCCCCTCCGTGTGCTCAACAGCACCCATGTGCCCGTGTCCCGGCTGGGAGTGCCCCCTGTGTGGAAAGCCCAGCCTGGAGTCTGGTTCTCCCACCCCAAGCCCCCAGGTTCCCAGCAAGGGGCGGGGCCGTACGTGCTGCTCGTTTTGTAGAGCTTCAGATATCCAAGTGGCCCTTGGCAGACAAAGTGTCTTCGTCCCTTCCTGTCCAGCAAGCTTTTTAAAACTCGCATAAACACTTCTGGGAACTCTGTCATACGTGATTTCTTCCGTTAGCAGGGTAGGAGCTGGCAGGGCATTGTCAGTTCGGTGTGTACACATTGGAAACACCCAGTGCCCTTCAGTGCTGGCTTTTGTTAAGTAAGAAGTGATGTGGAGGCTCTGGCTGTTTGGCCCGCAACCTGGCCCGAGACTCACCCTAAGACAGCTGTGAGATGCGCTGAGATGTTCCTTGGAGCCCCATCCTGTATGTTTCTCAGACCACGTGACCAGCCCTGACACTGTAGGACCAGTTGAAGCTGCCTGAAGCCGGTTCCTGGCCCGTGTGCTGAAGGCTGCCAGATATTCCCTGCCACCTTCCCTGCTTCCTGCCGCTGCCCGTCAGGCATCACCCGCCCAGTCCCATGGCATCATGGCCAAGCCGTGCAGTCCTCCGGAGCCCAGAGTTCCGGATGAACTCCTCGTGGTACTTAAAATGTGGAAGCTGAGGCAAAGTTGGGGTGGGCAGGATGAAGTGTCAAAAGTCTCAGGCGTCTGTCTCCCCATATCTGACTGACACTACTCAAGACTTCACCCCAACTTTTCACAAATGCGATCTAAAAAACCACCCCATAAAAAATCCTTACACTGAAAAGCCTGACGTGTCCTGGTGTCTGCCCTTCATCCACGCACTCCCTGACCAGCTGAGGATTCTTCTTTTTCTTATCCTATAAACAGGCTATGTAGGTTTGAGAAGTTCAGCTAGATGAAGATCATGCATGATGTCTCAATGTCCTTGTTTCTTGCTTTCTCCCCCCCCCCCAGCCCCCGCTTTAAAGATAGGTTCTTGCCATGTAAGCCCAGGCTGGCCTCAAACTCGGGATACTCCTGCCTCAGCCTCCCGAGTGTTGGAACTATTTGTACCCCATTGTGCCCAGCTTGCATTTATCCCTTCAGTTAAAAGTGAGATGACATTGAGAAGAGATAGTTTGGGATCTCCTCTGTGTGTAAGCTTGAACAAGGTACTTAAACTCTCTTGTCCGTTTCCTCGCTGGAATACGATTCATACCATCTTCCTGAAAGACACCTAAAGCAAAATAGGGTTGGGGCATGGCTCCAGTGGTAGAGCGCTGTCTAGGAAGCACAGAGCCCTGAGTGCAAACCCCCTGTACTGCCAAAGTAAAGCAAGGCCTAAGAGTAGCTAGCAGTTTTCACAGCCTGTCACAGGTGGCTTGTTCCTGGTTTTCTGTAGAAGCCTCTCGCCTGCTGTGTTTAGAACCCAGGACGTTCCTCACCGTGTCTTGGATCAGGGACAGTGTCAGTGTCAGGCGTCCAGGGATGAGGGTCAAGCCCACCGTCATGTGCAGGTAGACAGATCTCTGCATCAGTTATGCCGCATGTTGGTCCCCTTCCCCTCCCCACACCTGCCCTGAAAACAGCACCTTTAGTGCCTTTCACAATAGGACAGCGTCCCCAGAGACAAGGGTGGCTCCCGCGCCGCGCGGGGCTGGCCCTGGCCCCGGCTCTGAAGGAGGAGCCTAACTTCCGTGCCAGGGGAAGGTCAAGTGAATGAATGAAGCTTGAACGTTGCCCTTCTGCCTAAGTGGGGCCCAAAGCTGTATAGTGTACCAACGAGGTTTTCCTGAAGAACGGAGAAGCCGGAACCTGCCTGGATGCTGCTCCTGGGACAGGCCCTTCATTCGACGGCAGACCCCCTGGGCGGGAGCATGGCGCCGCGGGCGTTGCTCACGGTAAGTGGGGATGACTTGGAATTCGGTGGCATGCTGCACTTGAAGGGACAGATTTCATAGCTCTTGGTCCTCCGCAGAAGTCCTGGCATGGAGCCTGAACCTCTGCACCACAAGCCAGGACCCCAGGGAGCCTGCGAGCTAGACGTGAAGCCAAAGCCAAGAAAGATTTCCAGCATTACCAAAACTCCATCCAGAAGCCATGGTGTACGGCGACCACAGGTTGGAGGGGTAGGCTTGTTCAGAGAGACAAAGGTCATTTCGGTCCTTAGGTTAGAACCCAGGGCCTCGAGCATGCTAGGAATGAGCTACACCACCCTCCCAGCGGTTCCCTTTCTATCTGTGCTTCCATGAAATGGCATTTAAATTGAAGATCGGGAAGTAAACGATGTTCCACCTGCCCAGGGTCTCTGTTGCTGCCTTTTCATAATTCACAAGGGCCTCATCTGTGAGTTTCCTGTTAAGAAAGACATGATCGTCCCTTCCCCAGGGTGAGCAGTTGTGGCCAGGCCTCAGCCTGGCCGCCAGGCCTCCGCCCAACACCATGATCCCGGGCCTGTGAGACCTGTGAGCTCACCGGGGCTTGCATAGGCACAGAATCTTCATTAGAATTTAAATTGCTTGTCAGGCTCCTGTGGCTCACGCCTGTAAGCCCAGCTACTCAAAAGACTAAGATCTGAAGATCACAGTTTAAAAGCAAACAAGCAAAAAGCCTGGTGTAGAGATGTGGCTCAAGTAGTAGAGTGCCAGCCTTGAACAAGAAAAGCCAAGCAAGACAGCAAGGCCCTGAGTTCAAGCCCCAGTGTGTGTGCTCACGTGCACACACGCACACACACGGCATTTAAATTTCTTCAAGAAGTACTTTCAGCCACACTCTGATAAATTAGAATTTAGCATGAAGCAACCGCCACTGCCTTTTAATGCTGAAATCCACGGGGGTCCAGGGAGCTGCCCTCGCGGGGGAAACGCCAGCCCTTTGGCGCCATGTGGGTTAGGGTCAGGATCCTCCACTGATGAGACTGCTGATGCGTGTGCCTAGTAAGTGACCCCTGCTCCCTGTGCACAGCCCTGAGGACTCATTCCAGGAACTTTTCTTTCCCATCTAGCTTTTCATTCAAGCCCATTGGGC